CCGAGGCGAGACATGCACGTGCTGACCAGTGTAAGCGAGAGAAGAAGGTTCTGGATCTGAAATGGAGACTGCACCCTGGAAGTGGTCACTCTGTTGTCACCTCCTGGTCTTGTGTAGGGGTGAGGGTTGGCGGGGGAAGCATGAACCCCACCCCAGGGTTTAAAACAAGAAGTGAGGATGATCCAGAGGGAAAGCTAATGGCAAGTTACAAAAGCATCAGCTGGAGGAAAATAGATATAATAATAATAATAATAATAATAATAATAATAATAATAATAATAACAATAATGCAAATAAAAGGTCATGCCTTTGTCCAAGGAAAGGGCTTAATTGAACTTTCAGAAAAGTTACATCCAGATGATCAGCTTTAGTCTTGGAAATCGCACTGTAGGTCTTAGAGACCCGCTCTTGTCACCAGCCAGGAGCTGCTTCCTCTCTGGCCATAGCACCCGGGCAGCGTCTTGTCCTTGTCCAGGAGGCTGCCCAGTGTCCCTCCACACGCTCCCACCCTTGTCATTCCCCGGGAGTGAGCCGGATCGTGTACCTCACCCCCTGGGCTTTGGTAATTGGCTACTTTGGCCCAAGGAGAGTCGATGCCAGGACTTGGGAGGCTAAAACAGGAAAAGGAGGTGAGGGCCCCCTCATCCCGTCACTCTAGCTGGGGGCATTTAAGCTTCAAGTTGCAGTGACCATCTTCCCAAGCTTGGGGAGAGTTTTCCAGAGAACAAAACTAACCCAGGGAAAGCAGAACCCAGAGACAGAGATGACGTCATTTGAGCTCCTCGATACAGCACTGTCTGGTTTTTCACTTACGTAGATTCAGAAATTTCTTTTTTAGCTGAAGTCACTTTAAGTTGGGGTTCTGTCCTTAGCACCAAAAAGTGTTCTAACAAAGACAGATGGAATGAGGAAGCAAAGAATCAAATCCATGTCGGTTACCTTCTTGCTGTTTTCTGTCAGCCACTGAATTCTCTGTTGATAGAGTTCAATAGCTCTGTCAAAACATCAGAGAGACTCATCATCCAAGGAGGTCAGTTTCATTACCGGGAAAAGCAACTTACATACATGGGAGGTGTGGATGGAATTGTTTTTCCCAAGACACAGGGGCAATAGAAGCCAAAATCTAGCAAAGAGGACCTCCTGGTGGCGCAGGGGTTAAAGTCTCAGCTCTATGAAGCTATCCCCAGCCACTCTGGCCTGAGTACGATCCCCGACCAGGGAGCTGACCCACAGGGTGCAGCAGACCTCTCCTGACCCGCCCACAGCTCCCTTCAGGAGTGCATTTCTGTGGATCTGCCTGTCCTGTTCCCCATTCTGTCTCTGGTGAATCCTCTCACCCCCCCACCTCAGGCCGGTACCCCAGTTCTGTGTGTGCATAAATAAAGAAATCTTAAAGAAAAAAAAAAAGAACTATCAAACCATGAAGAGACAGGAGGAAACTGAAATGCTTATTACTAAGCAAATAAGCCAATCTGAAAAAGGCTACTTGCTGTTATGATTCCAGCTCTGTGGCATTCTGGGAAATGCAAAACTATGGAGACAATCAAAAGTGGAGCACAGAGTGTTCTTCAGACCTAGTGTTACTATTCACTGTACTCTCACAGTGATGGATACACATCAGCACTCATTTGGCCAGTCCCTAGAATGCACAGCACTGAGATCGAAGCCTGGTATAAGCTGCTTTGGGTGATTGGGATGTGTCCACACAGCTCAACTGCACATGTATCTTTGCTGGAGGACACTGATGGGGGTGTGGGGAGAAGGGAGGCAAGAGACACAAAATCTGTATGTTCTGCTCACTTTTGCTGGGAACCTAGAACTGCTCTAAAATACAAAACTTAAAAAAAGAGACTATTTGAGCATAATGGGACCTGCGGGTGTTGAGTTCCGGCTGCGCTCTTACTAGCTGTGTGACCTTAGGCAGGTCCGGTGACCTCTCTGAGCCCCCGTTTCGTCATCTCAACGTGAAGCTAAAAACAGGATTCTATCCAAGTCAATCTGCCAGAAGTCAAAGTACCAAAAGCCAATTCTCTGAAAATCAGTTAACCAAATGACGAATTAACTGAATAGAGCTGTTTAGCTCCTTAAGATGCTTGGGATTCACCATTAAAACCAATCAACCAAAATAATGCAGAATTCTTTAAAATCTGTTTAACTTTTCAACCCAATTAAAAATTGTTATAAATGTTATAGTTCAGATGTTTCTATAAATTTGGCAAATTGGTCATTTGGTTAATGGGCTTGAGAAGACCATGATATTTCATGTCGTTATGAGGATTAAATAAGCGCACACATGCAGACTTAGCAAGTAATTAGCTCTTAATTGTTCTTAGATTCTTTAAAGTAACTTCAGGCAAAGGGTAGATGCAGTTCATGATGTTACAGGAGGAAGGAGATGTATACGGTGCTTTGGAACTCTGGTTTCTGAGTAGGGAAATAAATACTATCTTTGACATACTTATCTTTGATATACAGTTGCAAAAGCTTGAACCCACCCAATTTGCATTTAAAGTGGTCACTTTTTAAAAAAAGATTTATTTATTTATGCATACAGAATTGGGGTGCAGGTCAGAGGTGCAGGGGCAGTGAGAGGATTCACCAGAGACAGAATGGGGAGCAGAACAAGCAGATGGGTGAATTACACTGCTGAGGGGAGCAGCGGGCGGGTCAGGAGACGTCTGCTGCACCATGTGGGTCACCTCCGGGGCTGGGGCTCAAACTGGCACTGAGATGGCTTCAGCTAGCTTGCAGTGCTGCATCCTAACCCATTGCGCCACCAGGGAGGGCCCTAAAGTGGTCACTCTTCACCATTGCACATCAGTTGAGGTTGCTGTGTTTTTTATCTCATCCAAAGGGACTGTGGGCTGTGGATTGTAAAAGGATGAGGAAAATAGACATGGTCCGACCTCTCTAAAATTGGAAACAGAAACCTGCAGCCCCAGGGCTCAGGGGCAGCTAACTTCAGGGCAGGAGGTGAGATCATACTGGAGCTTTGGGGGTGCGGGGAAGACAGAGACACTTACTCAGAGACCTGTGACTCAAATTGGCGGAGGGTCTCAGTGGCGGACTGCGTTTTCTTCACAGTGCTGGTGCCCTCATCCCTGAAGGAACGAAGGTTGAGGAAGGGCCCTGGGAGCAGGATCCTGGGTGCGGCGCGCGGGGCTGAGGGGCAGGACTGCGGACTTACAGCATGGCCACGCCCTGACTGAGCAGGTCAGCCAAGGTGAGTTTTGCAAACTTCAAACTGTGTGTGGAAAGCCAGTTTTCCGAGTCCTCCAAAGCTGAAGGCTGAGTGTCGTCGCTCAGCAGCTTCTGGGAGCCAAACAGAAACCCGTGACTGCAAGGCGAGGTCAGGATGCCCGAGGTCCCGCCACGCCAGTACCCAGGTGCCCGCCTGACTGACTCTAGTGAAAGCCTGTCCGCACCCCTCATGGACGCGGGGGCCGGCGCCGGGGCCAGGGCCTGGGGGGGTCCTCCCACTCCTCCCCTCATCTCCACAAAAGACCAGGCAAGGGGCAGTGCTGTGTCCTGCCTTGTGAGACTCACACACAAGCATGCAATGGCCAGATGGACGGGGGTGGCGGGGCCACAGGCCACCAGCTTTGCCACCACTCTGGGGCCTCCAGAGCAGTGGACGAGGCCAGTGACCGACAGCTTTCCTTGCTTTCTTTCTTTTTCTGGGTCCTGTTTCCAGCTCAGGACCAATCAGAGAAAGCCAAATACGTCCCCTAACCAATCAAAGCCAAATACGTCCCCTTCTCTAGTTAGCCAGGCCGCAGTGTCCCATGCCCACGGACTCTGGTCAGGAGTCTCCAGTTCCGCCCCAAAGCGTTCCCCTTTCTTCTCCCCTGCTGCCGAGCGCAGGGTGGCTCTGACTTCCTGGCCTTAGCAAGTTCTGAGTCAGCTGCCCGACTCAGTTTGCTTTTACCTGGATGCTCTTTGTCTATTTCCACACTTGAATTCTGATTATCTTTTCAGGTACGTGACTTCTACCTCCATGTCAGAGGGGCCTTGACAGACATTTGTTGATTAACTCATGGAAGATTGAAAAGGTTTATCCTGGCCGTTTTGGAGACCGGAAGGCGAACATTTTAGAGAAAGAATTCCCTAGGCCTTGGGGGTCTGGCGGACGTGGATTACGCCCCCTTGCTGTGACTAGTGATGGCTGTGTCCCTGATGGCTGCTCCATCAGGTTGTGCTCCATCAGGTTCTGGCCTCAGTGGAGGCCAGAAGTTGCTCGGGGTGCGCACCCAACGCTTTCTGGGAGCCAGAAGATAGAGAGAGCTGGCCTGAGGCTCAGAGGCTCTGCCTCTTCGCTCCTCAGAGGCTGGCAGGTCTCCCTTCTCTGGGGCTGCTTCTGGGCCCCACTGCGGGCCTGGCACTGCCCGGCCCTGGGGCTGCAGAGTGGGCAAGCTAGTAACACACTTGCCTCCTTGGCACTTCCCTTCCAGGAGGGGTGATGGATAGTGAAGGAAAAATGGAATCACTGTACATATGGAACCTACTTTAAATCACAGACTCCATCTCTACCTCCAGGCGGTGAATGCGGGGTGAACGCCAGTGACAGCTGACTCAGCAATTCCTAGGGACTATGACATAACATGAAACCTTCTACTGATGTTACAGAAAGACCCTACATCCAGCCTTCTGCCTGAAGACCCTTGTCATTCCATCATAAAGAGACAAATGGAGTCAAGAACCCAGCTGAGTAGTTTCAAAACAAGTGATCCAAGCACAGGCCACTTCTCTGTGTGACCCTTTGAAAATGCTCCATTTCCAGCGCCTGGTGGAATACGCCTCAGGACTGTCCCCTGGGTATGGATGCCCACCGTTGATTCCTGTTGTCAAATAAATGATTTCTTGGTTCTGGGATAGCCTGATTATTTCTCAGTTGACATAGATTGTTTCAGAAAGGAACAGTTCTCTTAAGAAAATGGATCAGGGAGATATGAGAGAGAATGGCTAGGGTCCCTCAGCAGGAGTGGGGTCAGGTAGAACTGAGGGAGACAGATGCCTCGTGCCTTTAAATTAGCACCAACTGGAGCCATCATCATGAGGGACTGAGAGAGAAGAGACTGAAAAGAACAGGTTTTCATCTTGTTAATTGATGTCCAGTCCACCTCACACCCTGGGCCCACCCAGGCAGGGAAATGCAGCTGTACATCACATGGACACTAGGGGTCACTCCTTCCAACTCCCTGGTCGATAACACCAAGACGGTTGACTTACTAGGCATCCTACATGCATTTGACTTGCATTTGCAATGACCCCTCATCATGTTTTAGGACTTAGACTTATATCATTAGTACCCGAGGATCCATTATTAAACATGGTATAGATTTGGCCTGATTATATTCCAATGTCTGTGCTTCAGATAGAGAAAAGTAAGATCTTATAGGGGTTAAACGTCACCTCTTTGCACTACTGTTCTTTTGTGAGACAAAAAAAGGTCCCGACTGTGACTGATAACTCCAAGAGTGGTCCTTCTATACCAGCGAGGTCACGCCTTTTGATAGAAAATTAGGTGGGAGAAGGACCAATGTCATCTATATCTGAAGTCACTGAAATAATCTAAGAATTTCAAGACATTGACAGTTTTTTATTTCCTTTGAATTAAACTTGCTTTCCTGTGTCAAAATTTGAGAAAAGTAAAACATGAATATTTTCTGGATTGTTGACGTGCCAACATTAAAACTATTATTTTCTGGGGAGGGGGTGGAGGGCGCTGGTGATGGCACACGGGTAAATTGGTGGTGGGAAGCCCACGGGGATTACAACTGAGAGGCACAAAATGCTGTAAAAATAAACTATTATAATAAAAAAAAAAACCTTGTATTTTCTTGACTGACTACCATTTAAAAGGCCTCATCTATAAAGTCTAGTGTAGATTAGAGGGATAGTTAGGGCCATCTCGACAACCCTGAGGACAATAATTTCCTCAGCAGGATGAGTTCTGGGTTCTAGACAACCCATTCACCAACTTGGGAGACAAGAGTCTAAATTGTTGTAAACTCTCTAACTTAGAGAGATTAGTTGTTCTAAACGAAATTGTTCTAAACTCTCGGGTTGCCATAACTCTCTTGCTCCAATAACACTTCTTGAAACCAACTTTCGGTCTTGAACTTAGGGAATTCTCAAAGACAAACACATCTTAGAAGGGGCATTTTAGAATTCAATTCCTTTGACTTCAGGTTTTCATAGCATAAACTGACTCTTCAAATGTCCCTGAATATTTCGCAGTGTGGTCTAGAAGCCCATGTATGTTCTACAAACAACATGGAGATTCTTCCGAAGTCTCAAAGACAGGCTTAGAGATCAATGTGTAATTGGCTTGTTACAGCCATGGGCCCTGTGTGCCGAGAGCCCAGAGCTGAGCACACACTGTCTCCTGGTCTATGCTGTACACACGGCCCCTCAGCCAGCGCCCCATGCTTCTTACGAGTAAGTTCTGAGTCTGGTTAACGTGAGTCACGAGCAGCTCGTTGTCCGGCTTCTGTGGGCACCTCCTGACTTCTTTCTTGCTTGGTTG